TCATTTCCCCTTCATTTATAGGAGCATGCATGTGTCTGACGTGTAAAACTGAATGTGCGTCAATAACTTCTTATCGTGTGAGAGTGTGTGTGACTTGTTGAGAGTGTGTGTGTATCATAGATTCATGATTATAGACAAATAGATGGAGGAAATTCCTGGAAATCCACGATAATCAAACATCCACCGTGTGACCCAGCGGAGCACTGATGCCCACATGTCTCTGCAGAGGTATTTATGTGTGTGGATGTGTGTGTTACACTGTGGGAATGTGTGTGTGTCTGCTCTTCACATGAGGACACTTTAATAAATATGTTAGGTGGAAACAGCGCAGCAATTTACTCTCAATCCTGTTGTGACTGTGGGCAGCGCGGACTGGAGGACGGCGTGAAGGGTCAGAGGTAACAAAAAACCCATTTCACAACCCTACGCCACTCATGCTTTCTGATTTCTGAGAAAATGGTCCTGAAAACGCAGCTCATTGTTCTGCACATACTGCTCCGTTCAACAACAGTGGAAAACAACTGGTGGTTCACTGCAGCCCCGTGATCCCGAATCACATGAAACAGGTGGAATCAATAAGAGACGTGATGAAAAGTGTCACATTAGATATTTACGCCTGAGAAAACACATTGATTGTTGAAACCTGCAGAGTTAGAAAATCACAACATGTTTCGTGTTGTTCGTGCTCAACGTTAAAATCATGAAGTGATCTCACGTCAGTTCACACTTTCATTCACAGTCTGTGGTTCACACCTGATGTTAAGATGCGTCTTCATGTTACGCAGATCATTTCCTGTCTGATCATCAGCGGATAAAATGGTAAAAATGAGGTTTAGTCAACTTCCAGACGAGTATTGAACTGATATGATCAATCGCTGCGTGTGAACATATCAAAGATTCAAGAGGTTTAACGACACGTTGGCGTCTCTGACTAAACCTCTAGCTGTTAAATATCTCGACAAATCCACGACTACGGCCGATCTGAGCTCAGGACGTGAAGATCATGGTGAACGATCCTGTCGTGTGATATTTTAAATACCAAAGAAATCGTAAGAAACACAAATGCAACCAGGCAGATAAAACATTACTGTTTTAACATAAAGTACAAGGTCCATTAAAACCAAATGTGCATCTCTGATATTGACGGATTAACTTTTAAAATATCAAGAATCTTTAATATGAGTTTGATTTGTTTGTTAAAGCTAAATCACCTCAGGTTCCTTCAGGGTTGGGATTAACTGAGCTCAGGTCAAACTAAGAAAGGTTTGGAGAACAAATCTATTTAGTATTTTTTACAGAAGAAAGTATCTGAACTCATATTTAATATGTTAATTGTGTTATAAATATAAATGTGCCCTGTTATTATCTATTTATAATGCGTCTGCTTCCAACACTGCAGGACACAAACAAATCACTTATTGATTCCACATTATTTCTTTATATTGATTGATTTTATGAAGCAAAAATACTTTTCTCTATCGTCACGATCGACAAAAATCCACAAGCTCATAATGTGAGCACAGATTTCTACAACTTCTCTACATGAAGCGAACATAGACCAAGATGCATTGCATCAATCATGACGTGTTTATCCAGCTGCAGCTGTTTGTGTGACAACAGCAAGTTCATCATTTCAGCGAGTAAATAACGGTTTTGTTTCATCAAAGTCAGACTGAATAAATTCACATCCAGCACCGTGACGTTCACACCCTCACTTCCTGCCTTGGTGGATTCTGAACACGCTCCAGCACCGACACAGAAACTCCTTCTCTTTAACCACAAACAGAAATATTGATATTTATTAATGAACTTTTAACAACATGAATATGTATCTTTGAAAGGCTCATTAGATTAAGAAATTATTGCATCAAGTCAGTATGAGGCGTCAACAAACAAATTGTATATAAAGTAACACGATGTAGTTTTTAATTATTAAGTATTTTTTATTTCTTTTAAATTAATATTCTCTTTTAATATTTGCGATTCCTTCATTTTTGCTGTGCTCATGATTTTATGACCTGTGAAGCACTTTGTAACTTAGATTTTGAAAAGTGCTTCATAAATAAAGTTATTGTTTTAGTTTTTACCTTAAAATTTCAGCTTCAAAACCATTTTGATGGAGCACAAACTCATAATTAGGAGACTGGTGTCTAACGCCTGTGTTGCACGATTTACTCCTGTGTAGGAACATTAGCGACAAGCTTTACGGTAAGAGTCACACGCCAACAACTCCTAGAACATGTTGCTTCAACATTTCGTTTGTAAAAAGTCAAAGGAGAAAGATAACGTTCTGATTTCAGGTGAATCTATGTTCTGCTTTTGAAATAAACCTCATGAACTTGCAGAGTGTGAACATCACGCATGTAGAGAATAAACATATTCAGGATGATTACAGTAAATAATTAAATTGTGCATGAGAGTGTGTGTATGTATCTTTATGTATTCTCGATGCATCAGCGCTCACATCATAAAACCTGCTTCACAGTGTTTGGTCAAACGTCCCCGGGGAGCCCACAAGGTGAATTTACATACGTAATGTGAGTAAAGTGTGTATGTGGGAGCCGACGCACACTGAGTCACATTATTCACAGCAGAAACCAACAAAGTGAATGTCCGATGAGGGAGAGGAGCGAGTATTTGCTGTTTGGATGAAAATCCAAAGACTTGGTGAACGCAGTGTTTGATGTGGAAATGATGATTCTGTTTTTTTTTTTTTTTTTACTGTAAATTCCCAGCCCCCACCTTCCACCCTCCTCTTCCTCCACCTCCTCTTTGTGTTTTTGGACTGATGATCTAGATCCATCACCTCGTTCACTCCAGCAGACTCACACTCCTGTGTTGAATGGTTTCAATCTGATGTTATTTGTAGTTTCTGTGCTGCAAGGTTCAGTTCAGGCAGAAAGTGGGTGATGCAACTCTTTTTTTTGGGGGGGGGCGCAAATCGTGCAATATTTGTCAGGAAGACTTTTCCTCATGTGGATGGAGTTATCTACTTTTGCTCTGGGGGTTGTGCAGCAGGTTTGTTTGGGATAAGAACAAGAAGAACGATGAAAGCGATGATATGAAACGTTCGCAGTTAATCTGAGAAACACACTGAATCCATGAACTTTAAATAAAGATGGTCGACGTGTCTCCACTTCCGTCCACTGTTCAGAAAATGAAGCAACAAAATCTCGGATACAGAGGCTGCCATCTTGAGCCAAAGACTTCATGTGTAGCCTCAGTTTGCGAAGTGGCGGTCGGGGGCTGTAGTCATGGTGACGAGATCCCGCCAAAACACAGGCTCAACCAATCACGAGTCAGTCACAGCTGTCAATCATTATGGCCCCCCCCCCAAAATAAAACACTTGAAAATCAGTGTGATCAGATTGACCTCAAATGACAGAGACCATGTTTGAGAAAATACAATTTGACGCGTTTTTCCTATCTGCTACCACGGAGGAGACGGGGTTTAGACTTATACTGCAGCCAGCCACCAGGGGGCGATTGAAATGATTTTGCTTCACTTCTGTCATGTCGTCCGTCGATACAGCGGAGTGAGAAACAGAAGAAACCAGAGATTTTCTAATCTAGGGAGAACTTCTAGGGGGCGCTCATGAGCTAGTCTGGAGTGAATGGAGGTCTACGGGGGTCTAAGGGGTAGAAACAATACATATAGTTCAATTAAAATTACATTTGTGATGTTTCTGACTACGTGAAACATCTCGCTCCAAGTATTTGTGACCTCACTCATATAAACAGAACGCAAGCGTGATAAAAGATAAAGAAAGAAAAAGACGGGACCTTTGTATGTGACCATATTTGCCAACAGTAAAATAAAATTTGAGCTTTCTGTCTTGGGGCCGGAGTGAAATACTAATTATTTGAGCTCTTTGGCTCCACTCACACTGACTCTGCCCTCCAGGTGAATTACAGCCACGGGATTAATTGGAAATGTCTCTGAATTGCAAGTTTGCGTCTTTTTCTATTTTATGAGACAAAGACCTGGACAAATAGCCAAGAGCCAATAACATCGAAGTGTATTTTTTAAATAATTGCCATTAACCCGCTGGATGTTTTCCAACTGAGGAATATCTGTTCCAACGTCACAGCTGGGAAATGAATCACTCAACAGTCACAGTCCCTTTGTATATTTCTAATGTTTGAAACCCGATATATCATTAAAAACACTACAGTCCTGCAGTGAATTAAATGAAGCTGAATGGAGGGAATGAACGGGCTGGTGCGTAAAGGTTCAACGTGCGTGATCCAAAAGTTCCTCCTCACGTGTCAGAGGAATATGATGAAGCTGGAGGAGACGACGAGAAGCTGACGGAGGGAGATGAATCTGTGGTGGAGCCGTGTTACGCACGAGTGGGAAAACTTGGAGGGATGAAACGATGAAGGGAAAGAAATGGGGACAGAGGAGAAGAAGAAGAGAGTGGAAGGGAGAAAGGAAAGGACAGAGGAGAGAATGTGGAGGAGAGCGAATCACCAGAGGGGATAGACAACAGCAAGAGAGAGAGAGACAGAGGGAGGAGAGAGATGGAGAAAGAGAGAGGGGGAGGGAGGGATGAGAGAGAGATGGAGAGAGAGAGAAAGAGAGA